AAGAGAAGAGAAGAGAAGAGAAGAGGAGAACCTGATGGCAACACGGGAAATTCAGCAGAGGTTTACTGCAGGGACTGGAGATGGCCATATGGGGGCACAGTAAAGCAGGCAGAACGCAAGGCAAGCTTTGTCACGGCAGAGGTCAGCCTGTGTCCCTCCAGCATAACGGTTTCCATCGGAAATGCCAACTCCAATCTCCAATACATGTTCGCCAAACCCTACCCATTTTGTGACAGCTGCTTCACGTACCTACTGCCACGTAGCAGGCACAGAGTCACTAAGTGACTTACCCAGAGTCCCAGAGGACAACAAAGCAAGGAAACTGATTCTGGAAACTGGGTATTGCTAAACACAGACATTTCAAAGATGTTCCTAAGCATGGGACCAGACTTCCTTTCAGTCACAGGGATAATAGCATTTGTAAGCAGCACTAAGGAGAAAGACACCAAGGTAAACAAACCTACCAAGCTTGAAGAAAGGAGCTCTGACTGCCCCTTCTACTGAGATGGACACTTTCCCCAGGACGCTCCTTGCTGGTACTATGATGTAAATAAGGCCACCCCAGAGACAGGAAATAGATTGTTTCTGGCCTTCAACATCACAGGTGCGTATTACTACTGGGGCTCGTTTCAGCTCTCTGGCGTGAGAGAGGTCATCCGTGTGACACCCAATCTGCACCTGGCAAACAGAAGGGTAGGAACAGCTGGTCAAAGGGCTCCAAATGTGACCTGTCAGACTGACCACAGCACCCTGAGCTGTCTGTTGCAGCACTATCCCTGCAGGGCACACATGCAGAAGCAGCCTGACTCCAGCCTAGTTCATGTTTTCAGCCTGTGGTGACCAGAAGCAGTAAATACAGTTAAAAAAGCTGGTGAAGTTCAGTGCTATCCCTGTCTCAGTCTTACAGCTATACTCCCATTATTACTGGCTCAACTACATCCTTCACCAGCAGTTCAGGGTACTGCAGTGACTTATTTCACTGCACTGTACTTGCATTGATTATTCCTTCACACTTCACCAGCATCAAAGTCGCATCCACTAACATATGAGTTGGAGAAATGTGATGATCACTGCTGGCTTCTTTTATTGTACCTCTTCCTTGGTCCTCATACAGTAAAGCAGACAGCATGTGGCTGCAGGATCAGACAGAAACACCTGAGTTAACTTTGCATTTCAGCTGCAGTGAGCTTACTGCAATAAATATCCAGGCAGGTAAGCATTTATCTGCTTCGTACTTTGCAGAGAACAGGATCCCAAGTAACTAGGTTATATCTGACCTGGATACATCTACACGAGCAATAGTGACAGCACTGTCAAAGTAGCTTATGAGAGATCTGGAGAGTCAAAACTAAGTTTGGTGCATACAAGGGCACAAGTACTCATCTTGGACCTGAAAATCACCTTGATCAGCTCTCTTTGCATGATAACAAAACAAATACAGCTGCCTTTGGGTAGCAGCCACATTCAGTTAGCCCACCAGCACACAGAAATAGAAAGGAATGCAAAATTATGTGAATTAAGTGAAAAATTATCACAATGCATTGAAAGTGCTATAGGGCAGCAGCAATACAAAAGGACTGAAAAAACAGCAAAACCAGTAAGGAGAAAACCCTTCTCCGTGCTATTTTTGAGTGCTCACCTGACAAATGCATTGGTGTAAACAGAAGCCAAACTAGAGACAGCTTACCTTCAGACCAGCATTGACCATCAGGCAAGGGAAAGTTATAACTGCTGAGTGCCCTTCAGGGAGGTAGAGTCCCGTACTCCTCCAGGCTGTCTTACCTAAATAGTAAGAGAATATAGTTCTAAGCAGACAAGCACTTCTTTGGTCTGATGTTATGGATTCTGGAGATTTCAAGCTGCAACAGAAGAATCTTCCATCCTCTTCTTTTCCCTTGCTCTACACCCACAGAACTGTCTCACATTTTACCCAACCTGTCAGAAATACAGTTTATCATTGCCACTCCAGAACAGTCTTTATCTGATTAGAATAGTTTGGAAAAACTCCTCCCAATCATATTCTAATACAACAAAAATAAAGATTAATCTGTCCAGTGGATAATAACTCACTAGAGGAATTTAACCTAGAGTTTAAACTTGTCAGCTGTGAGCAGGAATCTCAGCAAGGTTGTATAGATACAAGGCCTAAGCTTAGACAAATCGTTCAGGGTGTAATTACCAACTACCTTGGCTTCAGTGGTGATGTCAGCCCAAGAAGTTCCCACCATGCTTCCAGCCTCTTGTTTTCACCCCCAAAACTAGACCTTCACTCCACCAACTGTGCTGACACAACAAGTTGTGAGACTGTGCTGTAACTCAGGCTGAAATTATCCAGATGAAAACCAAACCTTTTGTTCCTAACTCCTACCTCTTCATAGGATGGTCCCGTAGATGGCTCTATCAGCACAACTATAGCAACAATAACCTGCAGTATAGAGCCCAAGATTTCTCATGGAAGCTTTCTTGTCAAAGCCATTGTGCTGTGCAAGTATCCTGAGGAACCTCTGTCAGATGGTTCTTCTTCCCCAAGTGCCTGTGCACCAACAGCAAGGAAGCAGGACTTTCATGGGGTGTTTCAGAGTGCTGAAATCAGGGCTGACAACAAAAGAAACCTGTCTGCCACTACACAGAGGTCAGCCTCTTCACAAGCCCCCAGTGAAATCGCACATCTGTGCCCATACTCAGACATACACAGACAGATGCACACTGAGGACAGGTGCCCCACGGATCCCAGCAAGAGCATGCCTCAAGAGGAAGGGAGAAATCTCACCTGGGTTTGTGCCATCAATTTCCACAGTGATGGGAAGGGCACAGACCCCAGCAGCAGGTTTCTGCACTAGGGCTGCGCTGTCCGTCAGGGTGAGGGACAGCTCGGTTGCCATGCAGAGAAGGACTGCCTCTTTGGAATTGTTCTTGATAGGGCACTGCCTGCTGACATGTGGGATCCCACTTCTCTGAAGCACTTTGGTCAGGATGCGGTGGAGCGAGGCATATGCAGGGCAGTCATGGGCTGGGATGTGCAGAAAGGCAGTGCAGTCTTGTGCAAGCCTTTGCAGCCAGTCCTTCAAGGGGGCCTTGAGCTCCCCATGCTTGTCTACATGCCTGTTGAAAAGAGCGAGTGCCTTGCGGAAGTGGTAGTGCTCCCCAGACCCCACAGCTGGGTGCTTAGCTGGCTGGACACTCTGCCCCAGGATGCTCCGCCCCAAATTTTTTAGTTTGTTGCCAGGGTATTTTGCCACAGCAGCTTTGCCACGGTTCTGGGAAGCCCAGTACCAGGCCTGGCCTCCAATCAGTAGGCCACCTCCCTCTGCCACAAAAGCGTGAACCCTCTCCGCCTCTCTGTTGCCGTAAGAAGAGCAGCAGTACACACTGATGTCACCTGTCAGCTGTGACACCTGCGACTTCACCTCTTCCTGAGGGAGGAGGCTACACAGTTTCTTCAGGCTGGCATCCACACCCACCAGCCCCTTTCTCCCAGCATCCAGCCAGCGGACAGCATTGAGCAGGAATCTGGCCAACTTTGGGGAGAACAGCTGGCTTTCATGGGTTGCCACCACAACACGGCCTTGGCCATAGTGTGCTGCAGCTAAGAAGCAGCGGTGTGAGCTGTCCAGGCAGAGTGGGAAGGAGAGCACACCATGCACCAGCAAGATGGAGGGTATGCCCCCTGTCACCAAATCCAGCTCCGACACACCACGTAGGAGAAACTCAGCATCAAGGCTGAGGTTGGCCTGGTGCCTGCAGAACAAAGAGAGGTCCAGGTTAGCCCCCATCCCAGAATCTTTTGCACAAAAGACCACCTTGTCCATCCCTGCCTCTTCTTCTTCCCTCATCCTAGTACCTCATGTTGTCAGCTCTTTCATTTAATTAAAAAAAAATCCATCAATCTTCTCCTTTCAAAGCCTCAGTTTTTGCAGCCAAGCAAATCTGTAAGAATCTCAGCACTCATTCAAAAAACGGAGAGAAAGAAGAGGTCAAAAGGAAGTTATAGACCTCTGACTTTGAAGAGCGGCTTGAAAATCTAAATACATTGCAGAAACTCAAAAATCAGAAGACCGTATTTTTTGAACTGCAGGTTTAAACTGCAAATGATGTGGGAATTGGCACATCTCCTGTAACAGAAATTCTCTCCATTTACCCCACCTTAGTCATTATCAACTAAGCAAGCCCAAAAGATTTCTCTGTGTCTTCTCCCAGCCTCTGCCACTGACAGGCAGACACACAGCTAGACAAATAATGAGTGACTTGAAGTTGCATCAGGGTCCTAACACATAGTCCTCACATTATGACTAGTTGGTCTCCACAATATAGATTATGCCCTCTTATCTCCATTTCCATATAACTCCTATATGTCAGTGTGGAGAAAGACATGTTGAATTACTCTCATTTGGTTTGTTTATACTTTCTCCCGGTACTGCCAAACCCAGTTTTTCCCCACAGCTGGAAAGAATCTGTTGTTATGGGGCCATTACAGCCAACCCAATAAGAAGAAATTATGCGATCCTTCTGCACGCCCATAGGACAGGAATTAAATCTGCAGCTCTCCTTTGGTCATCATTTTACTGAGATCCTTTGTGACAGAGAGTATGTGCTCAGGCATACGGCACAGCATCTGCCTCAGACCGCAGTCTGATTCTTTGGGGGTTAAGCAAAGGCCAGCTGGAAAGCCCAGATGCACAGACCGACTCCGTTGCACGGAAATTAGGTATCTAAATTTCTCTATGGCTCTGGATCCAACCAAAACCACCACAAAAACATCCTAAACAAGATGTAATTCACCCTTATTTACCATTTCAAACCTTGTCAATTGCCATGTAATTTTTCTCTGCTGAATTTTCCACCCCTCCCTCCCTCTTCCATGCACTGTGCATAAGGTGGTGGGAACATGCCCATGTAATGCAGGTGGGAGCAAGAATCAATCAGCAAAGTTTAATTAACTTGATTTAGTTAAGTTAGCTGTGTCCTAAGCATTTTGCTGAATTCAACAGCAGACCTTTCTACTACCTTTATTGGGAAATAAATTGAGCATCCAGAACGTACCAAATCCAATTATTTGTTTGAAAATATTAGAAATTTAGTATTATATATCCACAAGGAAAAGGCTGTGAAGGAAAGACTTGCAGGGAATTTTATCGTAATTGTTGCAGCTTTCACTGCAGTGAAATGAAGCTGCCACATAGAGAAAGCACAGAAGCACTCCTGCTACTCGGAGAACCCGTTGCACTTGGCGTAACTTGGCAGAAAGCAAGAAGAGGCATAGCCTGGCACACCCACTGGCAAGGGGAGGTGGAGGAAGATGGCAGAGTAATGCCCAGGATTCCACTGCCTGGTCAGCTGTGTGATACGAGTCACAACAGCCCTGAGTTTTACACCTGCTGCTCCAGGACTCAAAGGGCCAGGCTGGAATCCCAAACAAACTGGGAGCACAGAGATTTCTTGCCCATGGCCTCTGTCAGAAGCTGAGAAGGGAGATAGCACCCAGCCCACCTCCTCAGCTCTGCACCAGTCCCACAGTTTCACTTGCAGCAGGTGAATTTCTGTAAGTAACAGGCTAAACAGGTTTCGCAGCTGCCAGCCACAGCCTGGACTAGAGGGCTGCCCTGGTGCTCCATCTCCAACCTGGTTTTGAACTATGGGAAAGTTGCCCTGAATATATACACATGTGGAGAGAGGGAGAGGAGTTCCTCCTCCTGCCCCCGTGTTGCTGTGTGTTGCACTCAGGCACACTTTGTCAAGCAGATTGCTCTAAAAGATGGCTCCCCTCATTTCCTTTATCATTTCCTGGGCCAGGCCTGGTTCAGCTGCCCTGGAAGACATCATTCTTTCTGACTGCAAACAGCAGGAAGGTCCCCCTTAAATTGGAAGATGACAGTTGCATCCCATCCTGGTTATTAAAGAACCAGCATTCACCATCATCCTCATCTCTCATGTCAAGAATCTTCTATAAACACCTCACCTGCATAATCTGATCAGTTGTTTAAACAGAGAGAAATTCAGATACTCACGGGACAATTAATGGGATCTTGGGAATTTTCTTGGCAACTTTGAAGATGCCTTTCTCCACAACATTTCCTGTGAAGTACACGCCAGCTACGCTGGTCACCTGGTTCCCAGGGAATTCAAACAACACCTTCTCCTTGCCATGTTGACTAGCCCAGTGCCAGGCTTGGCCTCCCATGAGCAGCCCTCCACCTCCCTTTACAAAGCCAACCAGGTCTTTCGCTTGCGTGCTGTCATAGGCGTCCATACAGTACACCCCCAGGGAGGGGCTAAGCTCTGCCCCAGCTTGTACTTTGGTGCCAGCTCTGAGCAGCAGCTGGGAGAGGGAATCCAAATGAGGATGGACCCCAACCAGGGCCTCGGGGGAAGGCCTGAGCCACTCCACAGCATTTCTGAGGAACTGGGAAAACTTGGAGTCCTTCAAGATTCCTTCATGGGAAACAACCACCATTCGGCCCTTGCCATATTGTGAAACAGCGATCAGAACCTGCTTCTTAGAGCTCACAAGCACAGGGTAAGCATCCTCTCCAACAAGTAGCAGCTCACAAGGAACAAAACTGCCAGTGAAGTCCCATGGCCCAACACCATCCACTAACAGCTCATAGGTGGCAGAGGGTTTCATCTTCAGGTCAGTCCTATCTGGTGGAGAGAAGACCAACACTCATTACAGTATGGCTCAGCAATAAAGAACAGCTGTAACAATGCTCTAGAGTAATTTCCTTCTTGTCTAGTACGAACTCCAAAGAAACAGGAATCATTTACTAGAAGCAGCTTTGTGGACACAACTTCTTCAGGTGTTTGTGATTTTTTTTTTGTTTGCTTGTTTGGCTTTGTTATCACATTATTTACCATTTAAACAGAAGTGACAACTATATCAAAACGATGGAGGAAAAGAAAGTGACTGTTTCAACAAATTCTGCTATGCATCATGGAGAACAGGTAAATAAAGGTAGTCACTTTCCCATTAACAATTTAATTGGAGAGGGAGAGTGTCAGAGGCTCCAGGATGTCTACCAGGAGCTTGCCTGGTAGAGGTGGTTTACACGGAAATTGCCAGAAAATGAAAAGACCTTATCAATACAACACATGGCATAATTCAAACATGCAGTTCACATTTTAGTTCCTAATTTGACACGTACAGAGCTACACACAGTTGCTGCAAGATATTATTCCAAAGTTGTACTTTTCTACCTCTGTTTAGGCACTATAAGCCCTTGCTTAGTATTAGGAGGTGCTGTGAGGGGGAGAAGAGTCCGCAGAAACGATGGAGGCAACCAGGTCCCCTGGAGTAACTGTCAGTTTACATCAAGCAGTACCTAGGAGGGCAGGTCTGGGCACAGGAGATTCATGCCCTAGTTCCCTGATCCAAACTGCCGCGTGATCTCAAGAAAACAATTTCCCTTTTCTGTAGCTTTCTTTCACCTGTTTTCCCACCTATGAAGTAAGGAAAGTGGTACTGACCTCGCTTGCCAGGCTCTTTGAGGTCTATGGGTGACACGTGCTCTACTTAGGCTCCCTCAGTTTGAAAGTCTGGCTCAGCTCTTCACTAAAATTATCTTCTGCTGAGCTGGGGTGGCTGTGGCTGCAAACAGGAAGGTTTTGAGGTAGAGAGTATGACTCAGTCCCACCCAGTTCCTGTCATTCAGGATTCACAAGGCTGACTTTGAGAACAACGCCTAAGGCAAGGGAAGGAGCTGCTCCGGGGCAGGCCTGGCCCTTTCCCAGGGAGCATCCCGTGCCAACACTGGAGCAGCGTTCTCTGGTCTTCACATACATTTCTTATTTGGCTACTGTTCAAGGAGATAAATCACTTGACACAGATGTAGGTATCTTCAGGTTTGCTTTATTAACAACTCAGAGTTGGGCCAACACCCCAAATGTGTGGCAACTGAATTCCAAGTCCTTGCAGGTTTCATACCTTTTCTTTATCAATACACAGAGTCCAAAGTCTTTGTAAATCTTCACTCAACCTTTCAGTTTTTCATATTCATCACTTATTGAGTCCAGTCACAATCCCCTTATTCAGCTGGGTTCGTCTTTTCTGGTTCCAATTCCTGTTTTCAGTTTTCGGTCATCGTCTACAAAATTATCTTTTCTACTAGTCCGATATGGTTACAATTCTGAGAACTTCTTACATCAAGTACTTATAAGGCACAAAGTTATTTAAGACTTAAGCAATAAGTAAACTTCAAACAATCCTAATTCTAATCTTATTTCCCTATGCTCAGCACATCTGTTATTAACCACTGTTATTTTCTTTTACTTTCCTACATGATCTGCACGACCGGTTTTTAAACAAATCCTGGGAGGGTCTACACAAAGGACAAGGCTAAGAACATTTTCTTGGCCTTTAGAGCAGCTTATTCAACTGTAAAATTTTGCTACAGCTACCCTGAATGCAAATACTTGGCATGCAAACACAAGAAAATGGAGAAATCCTGGAGAAGCAGCATCCTTGATTTGGATTTGCCACAAGCCCTGGGGTGCTCAGAAACAGCAACCTGATTGAGAATAACAGTATCAGTCCCATTGCTTATCCTCTGGACGTGCCTGGAAGCTCCTGTTTTTCACCCAAACTCTTGTGAGACTCCACTGTTGTTTTACATATAATTTATGAGTCAAGGCTGTTGATTAACATAGGGTAAGAACTACACTGCCCAGTAATTTAGTGCTTGCTTGCTGGCTTAGTCTGAATTCCTGCTTGCATTCCCTGGGTTTGAATAAGCCCTACATTTAAAGGCAAATATGAGGTCTATGTGGTTTAGGTTGTTTTACCAGGAATCATGCAACAAAGCAGTAACACAGCTTGGGAAAATACTGAAGTTTTTTTATGGTGGCTTCTGTAGATTTGATGCTAATGTATCTATACTGACACACTGACCATGGTATAAGGGAGAGGAAAATCAGGTGGACAGCTTTAGCAACTCATATTCTACTGGGGGACTACTCTACAGGACTAGGTTTGAAGTAAAGTCAGTAAAACCCTACTTCTTAGTAAAGAAAAAACCTTACTTCTTTGCCCACACCCTTCTTCTTACCACAGGATTTGAAAGCTAACATCTTAGACTCTGGACCCATAAAAGGATGGGTGCTCCCTGGCATTTACCCAGAACAAGGTGCAGCTGTCTTGGGAAGGATTTTAACTCTCTCTTAACTGAATGCAATTATCACCATATAATAGAACTCCCAATTTCTATGTAACCATAGCTTCTCCATTTCCATTGTATTAACCATTTCAGTGTGGAGAGACTATTAGACCCCGAGCAGACACAACTACACGCAAACTCCTCTTTCTAGAGAGAGAAGGGAGAAGACACAGCAGGGACAGAGAACATCCACACATAAAAAGAACTGCAGGAAGCTGCAGAAGACTGAGCTGTATGCCTGTCATGTCAATTAGGAGAAAACAACTACTAGATCTGGGCACGCACAGAGAGAAGGGGAAGATCTTGGCTTCTAGCTGCCTCCCTTCTTAACACAGAAGTGCAAATTCTCCATGACAGTGTCTTGAACAAGTCAAAGACTCTCAATTCCTTGTGTTCCCTCCTGCCCCTTCCACCTCTCACCTCCAGATAGTTCCCACTCCCCACAGAGCTGATAATATTAACAGTAGGTATTGGAGCATACATTTATAAATACTGCATAATGAATAATCCTCTCCTAGCCTTTCTTCTGTCTTTGGAAAAGGGACAAAAACGTGATGTGAAGGTACTGGGTCTTCATTAAATGCAGACTTTAAGATTCCATCATCTGCTGTCCAGACACCATCACACCCAAGCAAAAGGCATGTGGTACAAAGGAAGGAATACCCCTTGGTCCACTCAGGTAGAATACCTCTAGGAGACAGGCGACCTGGAGGCTTCTAAGGGTGAATAAGGGGACAGACTTTGTGTGTCAAATGCTCAGTCACTTTGGGCTGAGTCTTTAAGGTCCCTGTAAGGCCCGTGAAGATCTCTGTGAGTAAAATGTGTGGGAATGTGCAATACCTGAGAGGAACAGGACAAAAGGCACAGGACAGCCACTGGGGTGGATCACGTATTAAGACACAGGGAGCCTGAGTGAGAGAGACACAATTCCTAGAGATTTGGCTGCTCTTCCTAAATAGCGGGGGACTCATGGGGTTTCCAGTCTTTCCTCTCTTTCAGATTTACAGTCTAGCTGTCTGCACAGTAGCCAAGCACCAAGTATGCTGGAAAGTCTGTAGGCAGTAAAGAATTGGTGGGCTCTTGCTTCTTAACATGTTTATCAACAAAATGAACAGAGAGAGGAATGCTGACATTTGGCATTTGCTGAAGAGATAAAAATACTTATATTCATTATGTCTGTTCATCATCAACAAGGTTTTAAACTGAAAGAGGGTAGACTGGATATAAGGAAGAAATTTTTTATGATGAGGGTGGTGAGACACTGGAATGAGTCACACAGAGAAGCTGTGGATGTCCCATCAGTGGAAGTGTTCAAAGTCAGGTTGGAAAGGGCTTTGAGTAACCTAATCTAGTGAAAGATGTCCCAGCAGGGTAGGAAGGTTAGACTGGATGATCATTGAAAGCCCCTTCCAACCCAAGCCACTCTGTGATTCTGACTCATGTGCTGGGTAGCATAAATGCAAATTTAACATACATAAAAACTGCAAGTGTACGTCAAACTTCTACAGCATATTCTTATAAAGAAAGGCGGCATCTACACTGCAAAACTGGGCTCTAGAGCTGGCTTAAGCATACAAGTGAGAGCCTGGGATGATGTTAGGGCAGTAATGTGCTCAGGCTCTGTCCTGCTGGAGGACCAGGAACTCAGTCTTAGCCAGTGTGTTCTCACATACATACAGCATCCAGGGTAACTGTGAGGCTGGAACACTTGAGAATGGGCTCAAATTTGTGTTAACCTGGAGATGACTCTCAGGACTGAACATCTCAGCTATGTTCTGCATGCTTCTCCACCTTTTTCAACACCTGTGAAAGTATAAGCACCATGAAGCCATCAGTAGGGTAGGCTAAAGCAGTAAACCATGAAATGTAAAGATCAAGCATGTGCAAGAAGGGTGATGAGATAAAGCAATAAATTCAGGTTCAACAGATTGCACGTGAAAGAGAACACAACACTTAAAACTTGGACAACAGCCTTTCTTAAAGAACTGCTCAACACTATGGTAAAAGCAGGCACCTAGTGGAGATCATAGAATCACAGAATTTCTCAACTTGGAAGGAACCCATACTCCCTGCTCCTTGCAGGACTACTTAAAACTAAACAACATGACTAAGAACCCTGTCTAGATGCTCCTTGAACTCTGACAGGCTTGGTGCCATGACCACTTCCCTGGGGAGCCTGTTCCAGTGACCGACCACCCTCTCAGTGAAGAACCTTTTCCTAGTGTCCAATCTGAACTTCCTTTGACACAGCAGGAGAAGTGGAATGGAGAAGTGGTAGGCAATCAAGCAAGCAAGCTCTCATGGGAAAGACAAAGCTAGAAAAAAATACATCAAAAAAAGCCTTTCTAATGTTACATAACAAAAGTCAAAGAAACAAAGCTAAACACATCAAAGGGAAATAGAGCCAAAGAAGAAGTAGAAGGTTGTAAATTAATGCCAACTCTAAAATTAGGTTAAGAAAGCAATTACCAAAGGA